TCCGGAGTGGCTTATTTAAACAGTATTGACCTATCGCTAAACCCTATTGACTAATTGTCCGAAGCGTAGCGAGGACTCTATGGTAGAGCAATTGACCAGATTTTGTGTTGGATTCCAGTGACGTCATCAAATGATTAGCCAATCAAATTAAGAAAATCGACACGGATCATCCCGATAAGACGATTCCGTAAAATATATATTTTTTAGCTTCGAGCACTGTTTTCCTAGTTATAGGTTATGACTTTATCGTTTATCGTTATGACCTGTTATTTGACTTATAAAGTTTACTATATATTTACATTATGACCTTACGTAATCATATAAATTATACGTATAAAGTTGGATATGACCTAAAATGGTCAATAAATTCACTATATATATAGATGTTAAAGTCTTTAAATGCGTGCACTAGTTCAGTTCTAGTGTATACAATCTATAAAATCATTATACAGTATAAAAATCATTATATAAAATCATTACGTATAATTTCAAATCCCTTTCAAATATGTATATTTTATTTAATCGTTTATATCGATACGACTTGCTTAAAGCCTCTTCGTATAACAATACGTAGTAAAAAGATTATCACGATATCAGTATTACTGTATTATAAAAAGTTTATCATAGAAAAAAATAAGGTAACAAAAAAAATATTTTGCCCAGCCTAATAAGGATAAATTATTTCCCGTATAAGATATCGATTCTTAAAAGACGGATATATAAAAAAAAAACCAAATTAAGTTTCACGTGATACAATATAAAATCAGTTCGTAGCATCGCATTTTGTAACGCATAACACGCGTTTTTTTCATACGTACGTACGTACAAAGTGTAATTACGGGTTCGGTTATCGTTACGTATCAGTTATTATTTTAATGTTTATTTAATTATCAGAATACGTAATACTTGATCCTATTCACGTGCATTGATCGTAGCAATGTAATAACCAATTAAATTTCGTACATTCTCCACATTTGTATGTGGCAAAAATCGCTCACTCGTACAAAGCAAAACAATGATATGCAGGTGACAGTATGCAGGTGACATTTTAGCATCAATGAATTTATATTTGTTAAATTATTACACGTAAAAAGGTGGAGGTACTGTATATATATATAAATTAATAATTCGAATATAAATAGCAGTTTTATTCTTTTTTTTTTTTTTTTTTTTTGTTTTTTTTTAAAAAAAAAATTTACACCAAAACTTTTCGATGGCAGAAAATATTGACCTTCATAATAAAGATATATTCGAAAGCACCAGCAATAATAATAACCACACACAATCAATTTCAACTTTTGATAATTCTCAAATGCATGAACAGCCAGAAGACGCGAAAGTAACTACAACCATGTTCGACATTATAACGATTCCTATTCAAGGAATGACTTGTGAATCCTGTGTAAATTCTATAATAAGTGTAGTTTCTTCGTTAAGAGTCGTAAAAATAAATGTTAGTTTGGAAAAAAATAATGCAACTGTAGCTTATGATTCTAGTAAAATCACGAAATCTGATATTATTAAGGCAATAGAAAATTGTGGTTACAAAACTCAACCTCCTGTAGAGACTCAACCCAATCATGCTACTATCGGTTTGTCAATAAACGGAATGAATTGCAAATCTTGTGAAGACTCCATCACTTCCGCGTTAAATTCGACGCCCGGTATTGTTAATACTTGTGTAAGCCATGAGAATAAATGCGCAATCATAAAGTATGACACTTCTGTATTAGATGAAAGCAATATTATTAAAGCCATTGAAGACTGTGATTATGAAGTCATTACCGATGGATATGAAATTTCTGAAGATACCGCTTCCCTTGCAAGTGTTTCTCATCATGATCGCTCAGTTAACGATGCTCTTTCATCGGTCGCAATCCACGAATTCGAACCTGATCACCTTCGAACTTGTTATCTTCAAGTGCACGGAATGACTTGTGCTTCATGTGTAAATAGCATTGAAAGAGTGATGAGAAATGCTCCAGGAATTGCTTCCATTGAAGTTGCTTTACTTGTTGAACATGCAACTGTCGAATATGATCCTGCTATTATAAGTGAAGATGAAATAGTATCCATGATTAATAATATTGGGTTTGAAGCTTCTCTTATTCAAAAAAGACGTCAAGATACTGTGGAACTTCGTGTTCATGGAATGAATACCCCTGACAATGCTAGTAGAATTGAAAATGTTTTGAATGAAATTCCCGGTGTCATCCATGCATCCGTTGATTTTATCAAGAAAATTGCCATTGTAAAATTCAATAACGATATTTTGGGAATTAGAGAATTAGTCTTTGCAATAAACGATCTTGGATTCGATGCAATGATAAGCGATGACACTAATAATGCCCAATTAGAATCTTTATCTCGCACTAAAGAAATTATTGCGTATCGTAAATCTTTTTATTGGTCTCTTTTATTTGCCATACCAGTATTTTTAATCTGTATGGTTATACCACAATTTGAATGGGGCTCTCAATTGAATAATCTTTACTTAATAGAAGGACTTTATTATAGTGACCTGATTGCTCTTATATTGACTATACCAGTTCAATTTGGAATTGGTAAAAAATTTTACGTTTTATCATTTAAAGCTTTAATGCATAAATCCGCGACCATGGATGTATTAGTAGTCATTGGAACATCTGCTGCATTTTTTTATTCATGTTTTATCATGTTTGTTATGGTCTTTTATCAAATTGAAAGGCAACCTGTTTTTTATGATACATCGACCATGTTGATTACTTTTGTGTTACTAGGTCGCTATTTAGAAAACAAGGCTAAAGGTCAGACTTCAACTGCTCTATCAAAACTCATGTCACTTACTCCTTCAAATACCATCATTCTTATCAAAAACCCGGAAACCGGTGTAACTCTTGAAGAAAGAACTATCCCTACTGAATTATTACAAGTTGGTGATATTGTTAAAATTATTCCTGGAGATAAGATTCCTGCTGATGGTATTGTATTATCCGGACGATCAACCGTTGATGAATCCATGGTAACAGGTGAAGCATTACCTATTAAAAAAAGTCAAAATGATTCTGTAATCGGTGGAACTGTTAATGGATCTGGAAAATTCGAAATGAGAATCACCCATGCTGGAAATGATACTGCATTAGCTCAAATAGTGAAACTTGTAAAAGAAGCTCAAACTTCAAAAGCTCCAATACAAGAACTTGCTGATACTGTAGCTGGATATTTTGTGCCCGTAGTTATAACTTTGGGTGTTTTAACATTTTCTGTCTGGATGATTCTTTCAAATATTTTAAATCCTCCTCCAGACATGTTTAAAGATGAAAATGACCGTTTGGTAATGTGTCTTAAACTTAGTATTTCTGTAATTGTAGTCGCATGTCCGTGCGCTTTGGGACTTAGCACACCAACCGCCGTAATGGTTGGAACCGGTGTCGGAGCTCAGAATGGAATATTAATTAAAGGTGGTAGTTCACTTGAATCCGGATATAAAGTTAATCATGTGATCTTTGACAAAACCGGGACTTTAACCAAAGGTCAACTAGATGTAGCATACTTTGAACTTTTAACTAATAATCTAGAAATAACAAAAGAAACTTTCTTTGCCATCGTCGGTGCTGCTGAAACATTCAGCGAACATCCTTATGGAAAAGCAATTGTAAATTACGGAAAACAACTTTTAGAAATAGATAATTATGATGCTGAAATTACTGATTTCGAGGCAATCACCGGACAAGGTATAAAATGTAATGTTATTTTAAACACTTCATATTCTGAGGTACCACCCATTACAAGCGTCACTAGTACCGTAGGCAAACCTTTTAAAGTTTTGGTCGGAAATATTAAATTAATTTCTGAAGAACATCAAATATTAATTCCACCTTCAGCCACAGAGATCGAAGAGAGACACCAAACTCTTGGACGTACCGTTGTCTTTGTAGCGATTAATAATGAATTAGCTGGACTTATATGTCTTTCTGATATAATTAAACCAGAAGCCAAAATTGCTGTTGCTGCATTGCACAAAATGGGTATAGAAGTTACAATGGTCACGGGCGATCGATTGTTAACAGCTCAATCAATAGCAAATAGTTGTGGTATTACTAATATTCAGGCTGGTGTGTCTCCTAAAGGTAAAACACTCATTGTTAAATCCATTCAACAGAAAGGTTCCGGTAATGTGGTTGCGATGGTTGGCGATGGAATAAATGATTCCCCTGCGTTAGCAGCAGCTGATGTAGGAATTGCACTTTGTTCAGGAACTGATGTCGCTATCGAAGCTGCGGACATGGTTCTTATGAGATCTGATCTTTTAGATGTTGTAGCTGCATTAGACTTGTCACGTACAATTTTCCGTAGAATTCGACTAAATTATGTATGGGCTTCTCTGTATAATGTCCTTGGAATTCCTATAGCTATGGGTGTTTTTATTCCATGGGGAATATATTTACATCCAATGATGGCAGGTTCTGCTATGATTTTTTCAAGTGTTAGTGTTGTATGTTCTAGCTTGATGCTCAGATGTTGGACTAAACCTGTATGGGTAGATACTGGAAAAGGAGGTGGTGTGAAAAAGCTTAATGCTGGAAATCGATTTATGATTAGAATAAAGAACCTTTTTAGATCGAAGAACACTACACTTGATGAGCTTAGATATACGCGTTTGTCAGGAGCCAATTGATTTATCACGGAAAAAAAGATATATGCTCTGGATATAGTAAATATCAACCAATAAGTATTCTCAAATCACTCTCACCTGTTTGATGAAATCAGCGCCGCAGTTACACTAGGAAATGTATTATGGAATGGAAAATCTATATTCCGGTCTAAATTCCTTATCTTCATTTTACATGCAAATATTCACAATTTTAGAGAATAAAGATTATCGAACGGAATAAATGGTATATCGATATTGTGCATATTCCTTTTCCATTTTTTTTTCAAGATTATATAGATTAGATATGGTACACTAGTATTAAATGACAATATCAAGATTAAAGATTATTTTCATTTTGGAATTTTCCTCGTGCAATCAAACAATCTAAGATCTTCATAATAAGTCTATTTTTATTGAACAAATTCATCACACCCTTTCTTCAATCGCATGTGAGAATTGGCTGTGAACGGCAACTTACTATAAGTGTGAATCTAAAAAGATGATAATTAGTAATTTTCTTTTAATGATTAGTACAGTACTACCAGTTTAAGGTATAGGTTGTATTAATTTATACTAAAAAGTTTTGTATTAAAGTTTATTTGAGCAAAATGTTTAAATTCTGTACAATGAAAATTGACCTATACCATGTTACAAAATATCCTCCTAGCCAATACGGTGAACCTTCTCTATATGTACTCTTCCGAGATCGTAAGACAAATTTTCAAAAACGTGCGTTTAAAGAGAACATGCATTTGTGGAAAGCATTTTTCTATAAGTATTATAAGTTCGAAATTGGGGCATGTATTTTGAATGGGAGCATATTTAGAAAGGGTTCATTGTATTTGCTTACAAATATTTAGTTACCAGATTACAAGGATCACGAGATATTCATATTTAATCAACGATAATAAAAGTTCCTAGGTCATATGTGTGTACGGGCGGAAACCCATTACCAATGGCCTCGACCTGGCCTTTTAATGCTTCAAATTAAGCTAACCTTTTTTGTACAATCATTACTTACACACTATCTGGCAACTAAGTGCGATAAATCCTAGTATATTTGCTTTCCCTAAATTTTTTTTCAAAAAACATCAATCGACAGTCACCAGTTTTGTTAAGAAACTGTTTTGAGGGGTTAACAACTAATTTTAGTTCCTTTATTAATTGAAATTAATGATTTGCTAGATGAATTTTTTATTCTTTGGAATCTTTTTTTGTCGAATGTAAGCTGCGAAGTAAGAACAGTCTTAATCATAATTACTTAAGAAATATATATCATATTACAAGTTTAGTTTTGAAGGTGCAAAAAATTAAGTGGTAGATCGCAATTGAAGAGTTTAAATTTCATATGCCAAAAGTTTCTAGCAAGGTGTAAAAATCATAATTATGAAGGAATAAATCGCTATTATTAGAACCGAGATTACTTGCTCTAAAATATTTGTTTAAAACTACGGAAAGGTTCACTTGGAATAAAAGACTTTTCATTGTAAGCTAGCTGCATTCCAATTCTGTAGCAAACTATTAATTTCTACTAAAATAAGGTTGCTATTTTTTATACTCTTTAACCACACGATTTACCTCTTAAATGATGTTAAATTTAACTTTGATAGGTACTATATAAAAATTTTCAAAAAATATGGCTTAAATTATTTTCAAAGATTATATAAATAAATTATTTGTTATTTTAAAAAATCTACGCCTTTTATTCTGGATATTTAAATTTTAAACATCGTAATACACGGATTAATTCTCTCAGCTATATATAATTATGCCACGAGATGCGACCTTATATGGTTTTAATTTTCAAGGCTATTGGATTTTGAATGCTTTATTTTTATTTATAAAAGGTTTGAATTAAAAATTTTATATATAAAAGTTGTAAATATTTAAAAAAAATAAAGACCGATTTTAATGAAAAATTCACCGGGTATATTGTTTTTCAAAAACGGCTTTGATCATTAGTACGTATTTGGTACGTACATTAAGAATGTTTATTATTCTAAAAATCTTGGTTTTTATTTTAATTTAAGCTTTAAACCCTAATCATAAAGTTTAATTTTAACTTTAAATTTGTAGTAAAATGTTTTATTAATAATTAAAAACATATTGTAATAAATTTTATTTCTTGTAAATAAGAAATAAATTTAAAAATAGAATATAAAGGGAAATTCTATTTTACCCGTCAAAATGACCCTTTGCAAAATTTTAGGACCAGAATTATGTTGATGCAAGCCAGGGTTTTTAATATAAAACCCGGCCGGCATTAACATAATTCTTGCCCACACTAACCCTAAATTCTGGGTGGGTCATTTTGACCCAAGTCAAAATAGAATTTTCTTATATATAATAAATATCAAAATAATGTTTTTAATCATTTATAAACTATTTTAAATAATTTTGTTTAGACTTTTAACTTAGATTATTAATACAAATACTATTATACAATTTGTACTACTGTATATGGTAGTATGGTATTACTGGAGTTGGTAGAACTCTTTAAGTGTAACCAGAATTGTTCTGAATATAGGTGATAAAAGTCCTGTTCCTCCATCATAGTAGAATGTATAAATTGGAAGTATAGAAGTACTGAGTTGCTATATAATAAAAATAAAAAACCTGAGATATATACTTAAGAAAAATAGTGGCAACAGAGGCTGGCTTAAAATATGGATTTAGTATATCTAGACAAATAAGTAGGTGTTTATCTAACAATGTAATATCAACTTTGTTATATGAAAATCTAATGAGGTAGCAGTTTCTGGCCAAATTCTAAACACATATCAAAATACTATAACAGATATACCAACTTGAAAGTTATTAATTTGGGAGTTGTATAGTAACAAAAAGATAAGAGATGCAGAAAACATAAGTATAGCTAGATATAGTAATAATAAAAGCTAAAATCTAGATAGTAGATAAATAAGATATATATGAACTAGTATAAAGAGTTTTGTTTAGAAAGTTTTTAAATCTAATGATTAGTTTTTAGCATTGTTTAAAATGATAAATAAGAGGCTGGTTATATAGTTAGCCTAATATGGCAGATCATATCTGAACATCTATATACAGTAGAGGTAGCTAAATAAGTTGAATCTAGAGTTAATACTTCAATCCGGATATATTTATATCCGGATTGATATTTTGTTATAAATTTATAGTAAAACATAGTAATTTAAATCCAGATTTATTTTATATCTGGATTTATCTGGATATAAAACATAGTAAAGTATTAACTTTAGTTGAATCTTATATTAGTATATATATAACTCTATAATAGGCTATGTATAATAATATATATAAATTTGCTATTTAAATATTTATTAAAATCACTAATAAGATTATTAAAGTTTAAAAAAAATACTATTAGTAAAGTGTTATTTATCACTTGATTTTTTTATCAGAATTTATTTTTTCTCTCCTCTTAATATATATCTTAATCAGGTTTTTATATATAATTTTAAATTTTTTACCTCTTTTTTCTTTTAAAAAATTATCTGATTTTTTTTTTTAACTAGCTTTTTTAGCTTAAAGTTTTTATTTAAACTTAGATAGAATGGTTTACAATGGTACCTTTTACATTAGAAAGTACAATTAGCTATATATACAACTTTTGGTTGTCAATTTAAATAGTTTATATATTAGTATTATACTATAGATTCTATACTAGCTGTTATATCTACAACTCAACTAAAGGTTGTTTATTTAAACTCTTTATAATACAAACTGCTACCTGTATTACCAGTATATCTTCACTATAATTATTAGTCAAAAGAAGTTCTGAATGCTATCTTTATGTTCTGTTACAGAGTTGTAGCCTTCTTAGTAAAATACAACCAAATAATAAGGTTGGGGTAGAGGTGTAGTTGTTTACTTAACTACACAGCAGCAGGCAAATGGTTTGAAATAGTAATAGTATATAAGATAGCTTTATTTAATACAAGAATGGTGATAAGCCTTGCCTGTAAAATTACCTTAGAGAGGAAATATCACACTTTACAAGATAAGAAGGGTTAAAGGATATTAGAGTCTAAGTGAAGTGTAGGAACTTAAGAATTGGCAAGAAGGAAGAAAAGGCACCCTTTATATATCTTTTCTGCCCAAAGCAAAGGTACACAGCATGCAAGAGGACATTGAAGAATAAGTAACATTAGTGAAAGAAGTTGGGAGATTGTGCCAGGGGAAGTTGGAGGATTGTACTAGGTGAAGTTAGGGGATTGTACTGGGTGAAGTTGGAGAATATAAACATTACTCGATTTGTTTATATTTATTTATTGTTTGTGAAAGGAAATTTGGAGGAAGTGAACCTAGATGACTTTGCGACATGATGTGGAACTTGTGACACAATATCTTGTGTTTAAAACATTTAGAATTTTGTGTAGAAGAATCTGGAGGATTCCATGTAGAGGAATTTGGGAGAAATTGTGTTACTATTTTATTTTTTATTTTTTTAATGTTAAGGTGACCACTTTGGGGTCTGGCACGTTTTATTAAAAGTTGGATCGAATGCCAGGGCAGCCACAGGGCTACCCCTGACTTTGTTACATTAACGAGGATACATACTAGCCATATGTACAACTTTTGGTTGTTTATTTAAGCAGTCTTGCATATGTAACCTATATGAACTACACTAGATGTTGTACCTGTAGCCCACTATTACTTGAGCTACCCAATTAAGCCCTCTGATCAACTTAGCGCCATCAGGATATTCTCCCCAAAGAGGAACTGCCGCTAAGGCCCCTTAGGACTTTAAAGCAGACACACACTCCCATATAGGGGGGTCCTTTATCCTTGTGATAAACAATTGTGTTACTATTTTCATGGTATCTTTTGTATAATCTAAAGTACTCTTTTGTATAATATTGTCTTACCTTAGGTCATGTAAGGTCATGTGACTGCACCATACTTCCAATAGCCAATCAAATTATTTCTATATATCAACTATAAAATTACTATCTAATATAATATTATAATATACAATATAAGAATATACTAAATACAACTAAGAATAAACTAACTAATAATAT